GTAAGTGAGAGAGTGAATGTTTGTTTGTCTCGTTTGTCTCTATGTGTCCCTGTGATGGACTGGAGACCTGTCCAGGGTGTACCCCGCCTCTTGCACAGTGATAGCTGGCACCAGTGACCCCCGCAACCCGAAAATAAAGAAGCGGGTAAAGACAATGGATGGGTGTTCATTAACAGCATACGGTCCACTGTCTATTGCCATTGGAACACAAATAAGTCAGAGTTGCAACAACGTGTACTCATTAGACTCCAGAAACCAGCTTATCATCATCAAACTGGTTGGCCCACTATGTGAGTGTGCTACTTAAAAGACTGAGGTTGTTGTGGCTCCTCGTCTTTTGGATGAAATGTTTCAACACAAAGAAACCATCCAGAGAACCTGACTTAACTTTGTTGGATTTTTTTACATGGATTATTTACCATGAACTTTGATGTGTAACCATTAGGTTTGCCTATAAATTTTTAGAACCAAACATACAAATTTACTAATGGGGTGTCACCTCACAGATTAAGAACCACTGTCCTATTACAGCAAGTGTTTATTGTGACAAGAACAATCTTTGTCAGTTGGATTTCCTTACATTTACAAGACCCACTAATTTAAAATACAAATGGATTGGAACAACCACAGCAAAAAGCTTTGTTGGTAGTTAAGGCTTTAGGTAGCATGGATGTTTTGTACTTTAATAAATACTGAATCTTGAACTCTGCTTTGTTTAATGGCTGCTACTGTACCACAAAAAAGCAATGTCTTCAGAAGTGCCTTTTTACTTAACATTTTTAGAAAAATCCAAACCACTCTTGTATCTCTTATGTGTTTAGGTCTTTTATTCTTTTGAGCATCTCGTTACATTCGGGTACTGGTTTGAAATACTTAGAGTGAAGTCAAAAGTTGGTAAAGATTTAATTCAAACATAAAAAAGAAAGGAAACAGCAGACAGAGTCCTAAGTTGTAGGAGCGCAGTTCGTGGTTTCCTTGGTGATTCAGTGTCTGGAGTCGGCACACAAAGGAGTCAGGAAGTCTAATGCTGCCTGACCACTGGAACTTATTGGATCAACAGGGCTGTTGTCACAGTGTTCGACAAAGAACTTCCATTAGTGTTAAATGTTTTAAAAAAAAAAATACATGAACGACTGATACCATCAGTCTGACTGTGGCAGGGGAAAAAACTATTAAAAACCTTGTGCTATGGGCGACGATGCTATCTGCTCTACTGTGTCTCAGGTTATATGAACATTTTTTGTGTCTGATAAGAGAGTGAGCTGGATGAAGTGAGTCCTGAATGACTCCAGTTGCTCTCTGTACATACATCGAGTCTATGGAAGGAAGTTTTGTCCCTTTGATCCACCCCACAGTCTTTATGACTCTGCAGTGCCTTCCTTTCTCCTTGTGTGGTGATCCCATACCAGAGAGTGATTTCTGTGGTTAGGGTGCTCTCTATAGTCCTCTATAGGCTTGGATGAGGGTGCTGGTTCAGACTCGCGTTCCTGAGCAGCCTAATGAAGTAAAGCCTTTGCTGGGATTTTTTCACTGTGGCTGTGGTGTTGAGAGACCAGCTCAGGTCCGATGTAACCTGCAGTCCCAAGAATCTATGGCTGTCAGCCCTCTCTAGAGGCTTTAATGGGGTGTGGTTCTTCCTGAAGTCCAATATGATTTATTTGGTCTAGTCTGTACTGAGGATGAGGTCATTCTTCTTTCTATAGGTTATAAGGTTGTCTACCAGAGTCTTGTACCCTGACTCGTTCTCCTCCTGGATGAGCCCCAATATAGTGCTGTTGTCAGCAAATTTAATAACGATGGTGCACATAAATTTTCACTGATCCAATGTTCTCAGACACTGACAGACAGCAGCCTACTTTCTTAGAGGTGATCTGCGCCAGAACCAGAGCAGCTAACATCTTATGGGACCCCACCCCACACTCCCTGCCCACTATCTGTTTACCCCCCTTCTACAGGAGGCTGCGTACCTGAACAATCGTACCCTGTGACCATAAGGTTCATAAATTCTAGGTTTTCAGTTGTCATCTGCACTTTTACTGTTGTTTTTACAAACTGTTTTATATAGAACAATTTTAGGTTGAGGAATTTAATTTTGTTATTATTTTTTTAGGGATTTTAGGTTATTTATTTTGTCAGGGGTGTTTTTAACTCTGGTACCTGGAGAACAAATTTTGCAAAGTTTTCAACAAGTTGAATAATAATAAATAATATATTAATCTACTTTGCTAATAGATAGTTTATGCATATAGATGTGTTAACCCCCTCCCAGCCAAACCCACCACCTTCTGTCCCCTTTTGGTGGCGTCCTTGTTTTAAAGCAGTTTGAAAGTTTGCAAAATCTACCAGTAAAGACCAAAGTTATCAATAATGTGAGTGAACCAGTGAACCCCTTTTTGTGGTAACATCAGATAATTTATTATCCTTTTTTATAAACGGTAATTATTTATACACACTAAGAACAGAGTGATTTTATCTGGTCTTTGTATATGGCTGGTCTCGGTTCACACATGCACACTGCTTTTTTCCTCACGTGTTGTAGTTGATGACCTTTGAGCCACATTCTCAGGCTGAATGGTGCCTGGCACCTGGACAGAACTAAAAAATGGTGCTTGTACTGTAAATCTAATAATCACCTTTCCTGAAGGAATGTGTTTTAAAATATTGCCCCACCTTTAATCAGTTCTGTAGATGACTCTGTTACGAACAGTGTTGATCAGTCAGTAGATTCCCTTAATCTAGGCTAAAATATCTTGGCTTATTATGAAAACCACTGTGATTTCCAGAAGTTAAACCCAACGTTCTCTGAGCAAAGCACCCTTATTTAAAATTATACCCAGGAGTTGTGCTCCAGTCTGTGCTGATCGTAGCCGATAAACATCTCACGACTGAAGAGGTATTTGCTGCTGGACTGGATGCTAAAACTGAACTGACAAAAATAAATCTAAATTGCTTTAGTTGATTCTTTGACTACTGTAATGTGCTCTTGTTACTGTAGAACTCACTTATTACGAGGTGTATAAATCAAAATCCTCAAAAAACTTTGACTAGTTCAAACTTTGCAAAACACTGCTTTAAACATGATGGTACTATTCATACCATGATGGTATAAAAGCTCTTTCTTTATAAACTGTGATGTTTCTTTAACCTTAAACTGGTCAAATTCAATAGAATGAATCTTTCCTCTGAGTTTATGGTTTTTAAATTGTAGTGCAAGTACCACTGGCGGTACTCAGGTTCAAGTCAACTTTATTGTCATTTTCCACCACATGTGGTACATGATTGGAACTAAATTATGTACACAGGATCCCAGTTACACCCAAAAATAGCAAAATATAACATATGAAAAGAAACCGAGAATAAGGATCTAAGATATACACTAAACACTAAAAGTGTATTAATACATCATAACAACAGCAGCCCCAACATGAGTCTTTGGTGAGTGGATAGGTATGAATGAATACAGAAGCATGAAATCAGCAGCATGGATAATCAGCAGCACAGATAAGTCACATATCACCAATTAAAGTGGCATTACAATGATTTTTTTAATCTTATTTTTTACATTGATTATCCTGGTTAAGGATTAATACTGTACATGCAAGTCTAACAGCTTCAGGGTAAAAGCTGTTCCTCAGTGTAGTGGCTCTACAATTAATCCTCCACAACCATCTGCCTGAGGGGAATGGGGCAAAAAGTGTATGTGCTGGGTGAGTGGGGTCCTTCATGATGCAGGTGGCCCTCTTCCTACATCTGGAGGTGTAGATGTCTGTGATGGTGGGGAAACTGACTCCAACATCTTCTGTGCAGCTTTCACCACTCTCTGCAAAGCTTTTCTTTCTGCAGCTGTGCAGCCTCCATGCCACACGTTGATGCTCGAGCACAGGATGCTCTCCACTGCACACCTGTAGAAGGAGGTGAGGACTGAGCTTCCCAGACCAGCTCGCCTCAGCCGCCTGAGGAAGTAGTAGTAGTATTCAGTTTCCTTTTAGTTGTACTCAAAAGAAATTTGTGTTTCAACTATCAGAACTTTGTGTTAATAGATGTGGAGTTCCTCAGGGCTCTGTGTTAGGACCAAAGTGTTTATTTTGTATGTGAATGATCTGGATATGTGTGAGGGCTTTTGAAGTGTGTTTTATTTGCAGATGATATCACATTTTTTTGTTCAGGTGAAGATAGTGAACAGATGTTAGAGATGATACAGGTAGAATTCGTAAAAATACTAACTTGGTTCCAACTTAATAAGTTATCATTAAATTTGGAAGAAAAAAACCCCAACTACATGATATGTAGTAATAGAAAGAAAATTATCGAAGTCCCATTCAAAATTAACAGTATTGAAATTCATAGCATTAATGAAATAAAATTTTGGGGTGTTGTTATTGTTGAGGAGCTGACATGTATCTCATGTAAATTACTTAAGAATTAAAATCAATTACATTGCTGTATAAAGTAAAAGAGTTTTTGAATGACAAAGCTTTATATATATTGTATAATGTAATGATTGTTCCATATTTAATCTACTGTATTGAAGTTTGGGGAAAAGCATGCAAAACAATTACAAATCCTATTTTTATTTTACAAAAAAGAGCTATAAGATTATTAGAAGGAGGTGCTATGCTCACCCAACAAATATATTATTTAATCAACTGAATTAAAAAAAAAAATGTATGATTTGGTTGAATATAGAGGCAGCACGGTGGCACAACTGGTAGAGCTGCTGCCTCTGAGTGAGAAGGTTGCTGGTTCAAATCCCGGTCCGGGGGGCTTTTTGGGTAGAGTTTGTATGTTCTCTCCGTGCATCCGTGGGTTTTCTCCTGGTACTCCAGTTTCCTCCTACAGACCCAAAACATGCATGTTAGACTGATTGGTAACTCTAAATTGTCCCTAGGTGTGAGTGAGATAGTGAATGGTTGTTTGTCTCGTTTGTCTCTATGTGTCCCTATGATGGACTGGAGACCTGTCCAGGGTGTACCCTGCCCCTTGCATAGTGATTGCTAGGCATGGGCACCGGCGACCCCCGTGACCCAAAATGGAAGAAGTGGGTAAAAGATAATTGATGGATGGATGAATAAATGAAAAAATAAAGAAAAAACTATTTACACCTTTACATAACAAGTTAATTAACCATCATAAACTGAACTGTGACTTAAAACTTTAAAGTAGAGTAAGCCAAAAGTATGAGTGGTTGTAACATATTACTATCTGATTGAACAACTCCTTGTAAGAACCTCTGCAGAAAGAGTAGTGGATGGTATTTTAATGGCTACTCAGGCAGCAGCAGTGGCGTCTCTTAAGACCCACTAAAGGTGCAAAACAGTGAGGAAATTAAAGGTTTTCCAACTTTTAATAGTTTGTTGCAAAGTCAAGGCTGTAGTGTGTTTAGTGAGGTTCCCTGCAATGAACAAATAAAACCATAAAATCTTAAACTGCCAAGTTTATTCCTAAACAGTAGTTAGGTGTGTATTTTGTGTTTTGATCATTCCTTCCTGAGGCTGTTAACTAACGAAGCTCTTTGGAGTAGGGAGTCAAAGGTAAGGCACAGTCTGGTACATGTCCGTTAAGATTGCATCTCTTGTTAAAACATTTACGGAGGGATGGATAGCGATCAGTGTCTGAGTTTATTTTAATTTTGAGATACCACCTCAGTAGTGGACCTATTTGTTATTGCTATTACCACTGGACACCCACACCCAAGGAAGTCCCAGCGGAAGATAATCTCATAAAACGTAATTGTTGGATGTCCATCTGCAACTAGTTGGAGTCTACCCATGTCAAGATGGTCACCACAGCTAATCAACCTTAGCAAACACAATGGCTGTATAATTTTATAATAATAATGGCTGTAATAGTTATAACTTTTATTGTTAAAGAAAATGAGAGGTATGATAGCTGAGAGTTATCCTCGACATTCCCAAGTGCTAACAGATCATGCAATTTTTTTTATTTAAAACATTGTTCTAAGGCAGTGACTGAAATGCATTCCTTTAAGGACTCTACTTTATTAGGTTTGAGTTATGTGTTTAGTTTTGGTTTCTTTGCTCAGGTTGCCCCAGTTCAAATCCCAGTTCGGGGGCCTTTGGTGGAGTTTTCATGTTCTCTCCGTGCATGCATGTATTTTCTCCGGTACTCTAGTTTCCTCCTACAGATCAAAAACATGCATGTTAGGCTGACTGGTAACTCTAAATTGTCCCTAGGTGTGAGTGAGAGAGTGAATGGTTGTTTGTCTCTATGTGTCCTGTCCCTGTGAGGGACTGGAGACCTATCCAGGGTGTCCCCCGCCTCTTGCACAGTGATGGCTGGACATGGGCACCAGTGACCCCCGCAACCAAAAAGGAAGAAGCGGGTAAAGATAATGGACAGATGGATGGGTACTCATTTATGTCAAAGAACCCATTTGACGTGTTAATAAAATCATAAAAGTCTAGCTTAAATGCTAGTACTATTTAATGTCTGTCATCATCATGATAGTATTTTCTAAGGTGGTACTTGTTGAGAATAGTTCGAGAACCGTTGGTATAAGCAGTCTCTAAAAACTTGTATTACTTGAACAGAATTCAGTCCTCCCTGATTTTCTTGTATTTATGTGTTTATATGTACATGTGCCTGCATGAGTACATGGTATGCACTACATCTCAGAGGAGGTATAAATACTTGGAGCATACATTTCTGGGTAATGCTCTTAGCTTCCCGAACCCTCCCTTGTCTGTCTCTGGGGAAATCTCTGTAAACACTGCCACGGGCCAGCCGGCACCATGTAAACCCTGATAAGAAACCATAAGAAGGTACCAGATGTTCTTTCAGCAGTTAGTTTGTACACGTCTTCTCGCTTTTAAATAAAAAACATCAAATTTAGCATGTGTTTTTTTTTTTTTTGAGAAAAAATAAAAGATCGTAATGTCTTGTTAGAGCAACATGTGAGGCCCAGTTTGGTAAAGTTTATTTATGCTACTCCGAACAGGAAGTGGTGCTTTCCTCTTATCTCGGCATGTCAGAGTCCATGTATACTTGCTCCCAACTCTGTGACTCTTTTATTGTCAATCTCTATACATTGTTTTGGAGAAAGAACTGTTTACACTAACAGAACCTCTGACCTAAATACACCCTGTTCCACCTCTCCACATCAGAGAAACAGCTGCTGAAATGGTTCTACACAGGTTGTTTACTTTTGCTCGAATCTGTTTTTCCCTCAAGCCCTTAAATATTCTTACAGCTGATGTTAACCTTTAAAAGTCTCTTGGAAGTGTTTTAAAAAGTCTATTAATATTTGATTACTTAAAAGCAGCAAGAACATGATCAGTGCATCGACCTACTTGTGTGTGTTTCTTGTTTTTGTTGTAGAGCTTCCAGAGAACTGGACTGATACGCGAGAAACCATCGTAGAGGGGATGACTTTTAACCTTCGTCACCTTGGCATGACACTCGTTGACCAGCCCAAAGGAGCAGAGTTGTCAGCGGCTGCTGTAAAGAGGATCTTTGCCACGGTCAGAGGAAAAAGTGTCACATGTGCTTGCGATGTACACGAGTTATCCTAACGTTGATTATCCCAAAGTGTTAAGCGCACATGAACCTGCAGTATCGCCTAATTTTCCAACGTCAATGGGCGTCAGCTTGATTAGCATTATGTGTGAATAGTGCACCTCTGCATTTGGAATACGTGTTGTCTCCTCCACAATTAGTAAGCAACATTTGAAAAGTTTCACTCACAGCTCAGTAACAAATGCTTTGATCATTATTTTATTGCTGTTTAGGTTTTCAAATAGAAGCTATGTTAGATTTTTAGAGTTAGAGGAACGCTAGGAAATTCTAGAGAGGTTTATGTGTAGGGAGGTCCGTCCATCCATCCATCCATCCATCCATCCATCCATCCATCCATCCATCCATCTATCCATCCATCCATCATCTTTACCCGCTTCTTCTTTTTGGGTCACTGATGCTCATATCCAGCCATCACTGTGCGAGAGGCAGGGGATACCCTGGACAAGTCTCCAGTCCATCACAGGAACAAATGGAGACAAACGAAATTCACTTTCTCTCTCTCACACCTAGGGACAACTTAGAGTTATCAATCAGCTTAACATGCATGTTTTTGATCTGTGGGAGAAAACCGGAGTACCAAGAGAAAACCCACACATGCACAGAGAGAAAATGCAAACTCCATCCAGAAACAACAAAGTCCATGCTCAATAATCCAGGTATCCAATCCAACATTTTTCAGTCAGGTCATCTGGACAGTTTCTTTATTTGTGCTGAAACGTTTCACCTTCAATCCAGAAGGCTTCTTCAGTCAAGGAAACACACAACACAAAACAGATTCTTCCCCCAACAGCTTACTCCAAAGTGGAACAAACCAGTTTTGCTTGTGATAAGATGGTCTCTTTGGTACGCCCCCTCCTCCATTGCCAGCCCTCTTCCTTGTTGACAGTCATGGCAAACTGGTTGAAAACAACAAAGTCCAAATAATCCAGGTATAAAATACCTTCAGCACAAAAAAAGAAACTGTCCAGATGACCATGACTGAAAAATGTTGGATCCATCCAGAAAGGTCCTGGGCTGATATTTGAACTGGCAACCTTCTCACTGAGAGGCAACAGGTCTACCAACTGTGCCACCGTGCCACCCGTAGGGAGGACTAGATTAGCTTATTTATAGATCCCCATTTACTGAGTTATCCAAAGTTTTTCGTTTTGTTTTTCTTGATATTGAGAACTGACCACTGTACTTGTTGTGCGGGGCTCTTTAGTGTCGTTTTGGTGGGTCATGCACATGAGTTTTCACACACAGTAAAAATGGAAAGGCAACCAGGAAAGTTAGTTTCTCACTGGATTGCGACTATTGGCTACTAAAAGTTGTAAAAACATATGCAAATTTTAAGTTTCAGTTCCAATGAATTCTGAGTTGCAGCAGCGTTTTTTGGGGCCAACTTTTAAAATCATGGCTTCTTTTCACATGTAGCACGTGTACAGTTGTATTCTAGACTGCGCACATGACTGCATGCTTCATACTGACCTTGGCAGCCTCCTTCACATTTATGATTTAATCTACTACAGAAATGCAGACATGCGGATTTGGATCAGTTTTTAAATCATTTTTATTAATCAATTTCATGGTTTTGATATAAACTGTAGCAGTCTTAGCACTTGACCTTATCGGTGTACAAGTGTTCATAATCTGTCATTTACAACAGGGTTTTATTAGTAAAACTCATCATATTCAGGCATTTATTTTAAGGAAGAACACAACCTTGTAGAGATGGACTCACACTGGTCCTTTACCTCATTTACTCTAGAGACACGTTCAAATGATTATTCCAGGGACACTGGAGAGGTCAAAGAACACGGTGGTCCAATGAATTAAATGCAGCCCTCATAATGTTTGCAGAAAGGTGGATAACGGTCTTGTCTTGCTCAAACTGCTCTAAACCCTCAACAATATTTACTACAAACAGAAGATTCTTATGATTATCACATAACTGTCTTATGTTAGGGCTTTTGGAGATTTCTGTCAGTTTCTGTAAACATGTAATATTTATGGATTCACAGTTAGGTGGCTCAGTTGGTAGAGCCTCTCAGCAAGAAGGTTGCCAGTTCAAATCCTGGCCTGGGACCTTTCTGGCTGTGGGGTTTCTCAGGGTACTCCAGTTTCCTCCCACAGACCAAAAACATGCATGTTAGGTTGAGTGGTAACTCTGAATTGTCCCTAGGTGTGAGTGAGAGAGTGAATGGTGGTTTGTCTCTATGTGTCCCTGGGATGGACTGGAGACCTATCCAGGGTGTCCCCCACCTCGCACAGTGACTGCTGGATATGGGCATCAGTGACCCCTGCGACCCGAAAAGGAAGAAGCGGGTAAAGATAATGGATGGATGGATTCACAGTTGGTAATCAGTGGTGCTGATACCACTAATCTAAAACCAAAAGTGGCTAAAATGTTACGTAACACTAACATTTCTTTCTAATTCCCTTAAAGGCGAAAGCCAGCGGGAAAAAGCCTCAGAAGGTTGCTCTCAAAATTTCTCCTCAGGGAGTCATGGTGTTTGACTGGTCCACCAACAAACTCCTGGAAAACGTCTCCATATACAGGTGTGTTCAGGACTGGGTTTTCCTCAGTCGTAAAGTCCTGCTGTGTGACTGGTCTGATTAATCAAACAATGAATTCTGTCTTCTCTTTGTTCTGCTTGTTGAATCTGTTGTTGATTGTAGAATATCCTACTGCACCGTGGACAAACTGCATCATAAAGTGTTTGCTTATATCGCTCAAAACACCCTGAATGGCACCCTGGAGTGCCATGCCTACCTCTGCTCCAGGAGGAAAGTGGTGAGTGGGATCTATTTAACTGTTTTCAAGGATGTTTTTTGTGTAAAAGTTATAAATAATTATGGTTTTATCAGACGTAACTAGCTTTTTAAATGGCCATAGTTCAGAAAAAAATGGGTTTTACATCTGGCGAGACTGGCAAACTAATGGGTAGTCCCAATGCAACAAAGACTTGCTGTCTTAAAACAACTCCCATCTCGAAAACCATTTTTAGCAGCTCATGCAAACACTACGTCATAAACTGTTATACTGCAGGCAATTTGTTAATACGTTTATTTACATATGTTTCTTTGGTTATTTGCAAGTGTAAATAGCAGCAGTGGCAGAGAGACAAAACACCTCTTGTGCAGTCCGATGTCAATTCTTCTAAGAATTTTATAATGCATGTGTTGTACATGGCAAAAATATTAAAAAGCATGACCAATGGCTGCAACCAAACCTGGTTGCCATCAGGTCATTGTCTTCTGCCGCATACACTCCTCATATAAGCAGATTCTCAAAACAATCCTTCATAACTTCAGGTCTCTCTTGTAAATGAGTCCTCGAGGCTCAATGGGATTTACCTGTATAAATAAAGGTTGATTGATAACTGTTAGGATTTGTGGTCGGAGCGAACCCAGAGTGCAGAACAGGAACTCAACTCGGCAGATATACAAAAATAAGTTTTTTAATGATAAATGAAAAGTACAAAATAAACAAGCTGACGGGGCAGCAAAACTTACATAAACAAGGAGGGAGGCACGGGGAACTCTAGGAACCAGGAAGACAAGGAGAGACTCAGGAGACTCAAGGAAGCGTACCCAACGAAGAACGACCCGACAAAGGACAAGACAGAATAGGACTGCTTAAATACTGGGAGAAGACAAGACATGATGACAAACAGCTGGGACGAGACACAGGTGGCAACAATGGAAACTAATGAGGAGCACGAGGGAAACAGACACACCGGGCCACAGAAAAGTAACATCCTTACAATAACTGAGTTAGCTCTAATGCCTTCTTTAAAGGAAATGACATCACATACGCACTGTAGTTAAAAAATAAAGCCAAGTGTTTTATGTAAAGACATGATGGTCTCTTTAGGCTTCTTTTCTGCTGTCGAGGCTAACAGTTGTTCTCTCTGAAAACGTGGGTTCTCCAGGCTCAGGCAGTGGCTCTGACGGTAGCCCAGGCCTTCACCGTAGCATTTGAGCTGTGGCAAGTAGCCAAAGAAGGTGGGCACCACTTTGTTCTCCCTCAAAGTCTGAGAAAAGACACATTCACTCGTTCACACAGGCTTGTTGTACAAAAGTGTGAGACTACTTTTTAATGTACTGAATGCACGTTAATTCATCGTGGATGAAAATACCTGTGGCACCTTTGTGGCTTTGGACCTGTTTGTCTTTGTAGAAAAAGAGAAACGAGTTAAATCTGGCTCTGCAGGAGAGACCAGCAGCAGTTCTTCCTCAGAGAGATCAAACAGCTCGGGGAGTCTGAAAGGAGCTGGTAAGAAGATGGTTTTATATTTATCCGTTTCATTTATTTTCATTTGACTGTTGATGAACAAGTATGTGCTTGACTGTTTGGAAGAAATATTTCCTCCTTTTTCCATAAAAAGTGAACTGAATATCTAATTTTCTCTGTTTGTTGTCTAAACCAGTTAAATAATCAAGGACAAGGACAATCTACAATTTTTGTTTGTTTGTTTTTTGAACCCGACCAGAGGACCTGACTTAACTTTTTTTTAGATTTTTCTACCTGGATTATTGAGTATGCATCGGGAAATCAAGAACAGTATGTTTTTTGTGACATTGACATGTACGGTATGTTAAGCCCCTTTCACTTTGAATGACCAACACCTACTCACTCTATGACCTACATGACATATTAAACCCTCTTCACGTTGGATAAAGATTGTGTCACAACATAAAAAATGAGCCACAATGTGGATGGTCTTCATAGGTTGTTGTGTGCATGCCTGAGGAACCCCGTAGGTTCTCCACTGTGGCTTATAGATCAAGTATGGTTTCCACATGGTCAGAACTCCATAATAAAGGCATGATGGTTTATATTCACGGTGGCAGTGTGTCAGACTTCTAGTTGGTATTTGAGGGACCAACAGTGGCAGCAGATGTATGGTATGGGCCACGTTCACACAAGCACATCCATGGCCCGTCACACCTGCATGGATTGCTTTGAAGGACTGAAGACACTTTTGACACTACTGCCATGTGCATCAGAATCAGAATAAACTTTATTGGCCTTGCACCGAGATACAACGCGAAAATGTACGTACAGTCGTCCGAAAGATGGGCGGGGTGCACGAAGCTGCAACTATAGAAAGCGCGGCCATCTTATTCTTATCAGATAATAATCTTAGATAGGAAAAGGGGGAGAAACATGAGGGTAGATAATGGTATTACAAAAAAAAAAAAAAGATATTTCACATCTTGTCTATCAGGACACGATTTGAGACATCAAAACCCTCTACCAGCATAGATAGATGAAGCTTTTGTCCTTGGGTACTCATGTCCCAGGAGAAATTTGATAGTCGGCCTGTCTCCGAGGTCGTCGGGGAGTCAGATTCAGATAAGCTTTGATTCTTGTTTTTCTTCAGGCAGAGATTACTTTTTTCTTCAGCCTTGAGTCCATCTGGGCGTTCTGGTTTCAAAAATGCCTAATTGTGGGATTCCATTCCACTGATCCATGCTATGAGTCTCCTTCAAGGTCGAACCCACCACGCTGACGAGTCCCAGAAGCTGCAGGTGGCCTGCGATTCTCATAAATCACCTCCACCTTACAGTTTAGCTCGTAAACCAGATGATTTAAAGTTCCTACTGCACAGACCAAACCTTCACACTGACTCGGAAGCATGTCCACGGCCGAAACTGCTACAGATGTCTTCTTCAAAAGTCGATAAAACAGAGCCCCGCCGATGCCAAAAAGCAGAGTCCCTGCTATCATAAATCCAAATATGTAAACGTCTTCAACATCCTCCTGAGACAGGACTGAGAGGCACATCAGCTGCCACACTCCCCACGGGTCCATGACGCACCCCACAGCGTGAGTCTCAGCTGGACACGCCGGTTCTCCAGGAACTTGTTGTTTTGTTGAAAAAAATTTATCAAAAGAGTTGAACGCCCACGATGCCAAATCCATAATCTTCTTAATTTATGTTCGGGAGATGTGAACCAGGCACTTCAGACACACAGAGAGCAGAGCAGGAAGAAGGAAAAACGGGGGAGGGATGACAGAAGCAGCCACCTCGATGAGAGCCAGGGAGGAAATACCACATGCATCACACCAGTGATAGATTCTTTCTATGACCTGACCACAATTAGTCTTAACCTAAGCATTCAGCCAAACGCCACCCATCATAGATACTCTGCCACAAAGCACACTCCAGGACTCCAGCCAAATGGTCAACCATCACAACTTAACCACTGCATGTGCATTCTCAAAACCATTATGGACCTATCACACTCAGTCATACGTAACGAGGAGTCCACTGTGCTCCTAACACATGCCTGAAGACCTCGCCAAGTTCTGGCAGATTTGACTGTCATTACAGGATCATCATCTAGTGTGAAGGAGGCGTATTATCTCTAGATCAGTACCTGTTTCTTCTTCTCATTTAGTTGTTGCCACAGAACATCTGTTGGACTTGGAGGACAGTGTGAACACGGTTCAGCTGGAAAACGACGGACCCTCTGAGACCAACAACAACCATGCTTTGGTACAATCTTCTCTGTTAACTTTGGTTCTGTATTGTATAAACTGAAAAGTGTCGCAAGTCATTGGATCTCCATTGCTGCTTTCACCATATTTGACTTTATCAAAATATATTTCTCAGGAAACTTATAGAAAACCTATAATTTAAAATGAATTGTGAACAAATAGTCATATTTAATATATATGAGAGTACAACCAGATCCCTTTTTCTTTCAGGAAATAGAAGACAGTTTGGATGAAGCCTTTTCCAGGTGAGATATTTGATCCAAACATTTAGAATAAATTAAAAACGAATCCTGGTTGATTTTTTTTTTGTTGCTGCTTGTTAGAAATAAAATACCTCTACTAATTCTGTCCAGTCCTTTGGCAGATAAGGTCCCCTTTCATTCACTTGGTCTCACAGTGCCACTCACTGATTATTTCTGTGTACTGCAGCTTACAACTCTCCCAGTCTGATGAAAAAGTGACTCAATAGGTGATAAATCACTTCACTGCTGATGTAAAGCTGTGCTCAGTGTGCTGTGTGTTTGTGTCTCCAGCTGTGCTCTGGATAGCTATGGTTCATTTTCAGGTAAAGTTCAGCATTACTGTCAACCATGGTTTAGTGTGGTAGTTTAACCACTAACCTGACCCGTCTGTTTGTTTCATTCAGTCCAAACCAAATAACATGTCTAATGCTAGTTTCCTTGGTATTTTATGCCCCGTGGATCAATTGTTCAATAACTTAAAAACAAACAAACAGCTGATTTAACGTTGCAGAATGCTGGTCCGGTTTTCTGATATTTTCCCTCAACCTCTCTGTGGTGTTTGTGTGATCGAGCTACAGCAGCTGGAATGACTCTGTTGAGCAGTTTGAGTTGTAGCTCCAGAAGTGGATCAGGTCACCACTTTATTCTGAGTGACTCTGGAGCACCACCTAGGGGATGCCTGCGGAGGCAATGGCCACCCCTAAAAACCTGGTGAATCCACAGAGACCTACAACAAAATTTTGGGTGGGAAAGGTGATACAGACCTGCCTCCACCCTCATTTGCTCTACTCTGGGCCCTTGAGCAAGGCCCTTAACGGCCCACTGTCCAATAAATCACCACCCCCTTAAACATCTCTGGAGGTGCCTAACCTTCCTGCTTGTTCTGTCAGCTCTGCTGATCAGCTGCTCCTGACTGGACCAAAAACTAGTTCTAAGCTCAGAGGGGACCTGGCTTTTGGGGTGGTGGGGCTAAAACAATGGAACAAATTGTCTTTGCACATTAGAGAGTTTAACAGTTTAACACCTAAATTAACACTTAAAAGTCAGTGTTATTCCTTGGTCTTCATTACTTTTTAGATGTTATATTTATGGTTTTATTCCTGTTTTTAATTTCTGGATGGATGGATGAGTGAGTGTTTACTTCTTATAGATTTAAAAGCCTAGAATTATAAGAGGGCAGACTTCCTTCTTCTCATGGCTGTATTTACAGAATAAATTCATAATTCTGGTTGGTCTTTTAGTGTTTCCTTTTAAAACTAGAACATATTGATGAGCAGAACGTTATATATTGTTTTTTAGAAAAGCACAAAGTTCACAATGGACAGCTCTAGGAGTTGGTTGATATTTGCTTTTTCAATACTTTCAGCCAAGATTGAACAAGTCGGTAAGAAAAAGTGATCATGATGTGCCACAGGCAGGAAGGTCCTGGCTCAGTTCCCACTTCTGTTTTCCTTCATTTCATCTGTTCATCTATAACTTAATTCAGTTTAAACTGGAGGTAAGGGTGTAGCAGCTCAGAAAGGTGAAGGGGGCAAGACCATTTAAACATTTAATAACAAAGAAAAGGATTTTAAAACGAATTGTCAGCCAACAGAGAGATTTGAAAACATGTGTGATGTGGTTGAATGTTCTTGCACTAGTGAAAAACGTACCACAGCATTTTGTAACATCTGTAAAGAGCCACAGCAGACACACTGACCCCGACACACAGAGCATTACACTAGTCTGGTTCAAACAGCAGCTGCAAAAGAATCGGGTTTATCCTGACAAGCTGTCTCTAATGAAAGAAAGTAGATTTCACAACTGACTATGGCTGACTGTCACTTTTAAGATAATTATATAGTTGGCCATGGAGCCAAGATGTAAAGAGGCAAAAGATGAAGCTTTGCCAAAAACCATAGTTTCAGTGATCTGATTTTTACCACGTTCACAACAATGGGAGACTGCGACCAAGTGAAGATTCAGCACAGTCTGCTGCTTCTTTAGATAGGAACTTGACTAGTTGGCTTTTATTATGTGTGTGAATGTTTTTGTACGGCGCCCTGAGACGACTTCTGTTGAGACTTGGCGCTATATAAATAAACTGAATTGAAACTATTCAAATATAACCTCAGGTGTATTGGACTTGTACAGCCACAGGATCTGGACACCTTCAGTCACTGAGTCGCCCATAATCAACTCCTCTGTTGATCAAATGGTTCTATAGTAAAATGTGAGACCATCTGCCTGTTAGCTGAAGCTTGGGTGAAACGGGTTGATACAACAAGACAAGTGTTGGATAAAAATATCCTTTCATTATCTACTTACTTAAAAAGAGCCATACATGTAGTCAGGAGAAGTTTTTTTTTAACACAGTTTACTTGCAAGGGCAGACGTTCACCTCAGACTTCTACAGTTGTTTCATTGAAGCCCCGGTCATGAGTATCTGCACCAGACAGTGTACAGGAAGTGTTTTTATAATGTTTATCAGCACGATGACCTCGGCCTCTGAGTGTCAGAGGCGTCAGGTACCTGCAGGCTCCTCTCTGAGACAGAAAAAGAACTCTCTGACCTCACATAGTTCAACATTAATTTAACATTAGCAGTGATAAACATCCATAAACTTTTACCTAAATTTCCTTGACAACAATAATCCCAAATACAGACTCAGACTTCGTCTCAGACTGACGAAGTCTTCTGGATTAAAGACGAAACGTTTCAACAAGTTTTTTTTATGTTTTGAATCTGTCCACAGGACTTGATTAACTGTTTTAGAATCCCAAATACAGCAACAGATTTACAAGAGAATGGCCCCCCAAAAAATAAAGATTTAAGGTGATAAAACAGCCCAGTTATAGTCCAAACCCTAATATTTTAGAATTGCTGATCTGGGATCTTGATAAAAAAAAAGTCTTCATGAACTGAAGCAATGTTGCTAATGAATAATTTAGATCCTGGTAGAAACCCCAGAAATGAAAAAGTCTAGACTCTTTTCCTACAACAGTATTTTGTGCTGTAGTCTGTTTTTTTTTTTTCTTTGTCTCCTGTACAATCAAATTATGTCTGACTAATAGATAAATCATGTGAATTATCTTTACTCTTGGAATCAGTGATGTGACTTCATTTTTGTGAGAAAGGGAATTGAAGTTTCTTACATTCCTTTTAGTTATACATATTTTATTACTTTTAATGTTCTTGGGTTTTCTTTTGTATCAATTAGTTGGAAAGTGGTCTCTAACATGCTTTCATTCATTTTCCTACCCCTTTGTTTTTTACTCCTCCATCCTGTCAGACTGGCAGTGTCACGTACTAACCCCCAGGTCTTGGACACTGGGGTGATGCCCGAAGACTGGATCGCTGAACTGGACCAGGACGGCACCAATGGAAACACACTCAAAGGTTTCAGCTTGTATAAGGACGATATCTCTTGCTTTTGATTGGCACTGCACAGCAGAGAGGGACACCAACAACATACGAGGAGCAATGTGGCCGTCTTCCGTTAAAATAAGATATCATCTGGTGAAAACTTGCAAGGGAACAATTTCAGGACTGAAATGAAGTGTCTGACTTTTTAATTAACCTTGCACACTGACTGTTCTTACTGGATGGAAACAGCTCAGCCTGCTGGACCTTCACACCAAAGCACACAAAATATGATTTTAGTAATATCAAGGCTTTGTCTACACTGCTTTGGATTGTTTGTATATTTTCATTTTCTATATTTTCCTACGTTCACACATGCCAACAAAAAAACTTTGCCATAGTTGACGAGAACATCCACATTATCTGCATATCAAAGTACAGAAAAAGATCATGCTTAGCTTTGTTAAAGAATGTCCCAAAACTTTTAATTTTCTTTGATGTGTTTAAAATGTCCTCAGTTACTAACCATTTCATGCAGTCAAGATTTACAGGAGGAAACATGACATAGGAAAACAGGTCAAAACACCTCCATCTTTGTTAGTGTTGTGAGAGAAATGTGCAGAAATTAGGTTGCTGTTTCCAGTAATGGTCAGTCAGGTCATCTGGACAGTTTTTTTGTGGAGAGACGTTTCGCCCTCTACCCAGAGGGCTTCATCAGTCTGAGGATTCCCAAGTAAACTGTTTTCCCCACTAAGCAGTATACTCCTTTAGTGGACCAACCAAGTTTGCTGGTGATAAGATGTTTCTGGGGGCTGTTCTGTCCCCTGTCGACTCCTTCCAGGCAGACAGCCACAGCCAAAGTGGTTCAAGACAGAGGTCTGCAACTTTTACAGTCAAAAGAGCCGGCCCTTCTGCCTGTTCGTTCACTACATTAAATGTTCAGAGCTGCAAAAGTTGCTACAGTGGTCATTATCAACTGGTGGCCCATCGGCCACTTTAAGTTTATTAGAGGGGCCTTTTCTGGCCAGTAGGTGTGAAATTATAAAAATAAAAACATATTGATATTTTGCATTTTGAGACAAAAGAAAGGACTGGATTCCATCTATCCATTATCTTTCCCTGCTTTTTCCTTTTTGGGTCACGGGGGACACTGGTGTCCATATCCAGCAGTCACTGTGCTACTTTGGAGAAATTAAGCATAAAGTCAAAGTGAGTATAATTTACTGTGTGTATTAGTACTACAAACCGGATTCCAAAAAAGTTGTGACACTGAACAAATTGTGAATAAAAACTGAATGCAATGATGCGGAGGTGCCAACATCTAACATTTTATTCAGAATAGAACACAAATCACAGATCAAAAGTTTAAACTGAGAGATTGTATCATTTTAAGGGAAAAATCTGTTTCCAAATTTCATGGCGTCAACAAATCCCAAAAAAGTTGGGACAAGTCCATTTTTACCACTGTGTGGCATCCCCACTTCTTCTTACAACACTCAACAGACGTCTGGGGACAGAGGAGACCAGTCTCTCAAGTTTAGAAATAGGAATGCTCTCCCATTCATGTCTAATACAGGCCTCTAACTGTTCAATCATCTTGGGCCTTCTTTGTCGCACCTTCCTCTTTATGATGCACCAAATGTTCTCTATAGGTGAAAGATCTGGACTGCAGGCTGGCCATTTCAGTACCTGGATCCTTCTCCTACGTAGCCATGATGTTGTGATTGCTGCAGAATGTGGTCTGGCATTATCGTGTTGAAAAATGCAGGGTCTTCCCTGAAAGAGATGACGTCTAGATGGGAGCATATGTTGTTCTAGAACCTGAACATAGTTCTCTGCATTAATGGTGCCTTTTCAGACATGCAAGCTGCCCATGCCACAAGTGCTCATGCAACCCCATACCATCAGTGATGCAGGCTTCTGAAAGGAGCATTGATAACAACTTGGGCTATCCTTGTCCTCTCCGGTCCAGATGACATGGCGTCCCAGTGTTCCATAAAGAACTTCAAATCGTGACTCATCTGACCACAGAACAGTCTTCCATTTTGCCACACTCCATTTTAAATGACCCCTGGCCCAGTGCAAACGTCTGAGCTTGTGGAGCTTGCTTAGAAATGGCTTCCTCTTTGCACTGTAGAGTTTCAGCTGGCAACGGCGGATGGCACGGTGGATTGTGTTCATTGACAATGCTTTCTGGAAGTATTCCTGAGCCCATTCTGTTATTTCCTTGACAGTGGCATTCCTGTTGGAGGTGCAGTGACGTTTAATTGCCCGGAGATCACGAGCATCCAGTAGAGTTTTACGGCCTTGACCTTTACGCACAGCGATTGTTCCAGATTCTCTGAATCTTTTGATGATGTTATGCACGGTTGATGATGATAACTTAAAAGTATTTGCTATTTTACGCTGGGTAACACCATTCTGGTATTGCTGCACTGTCTTTCTGCACAACAATGGTGGAATTGGTGATCCTCTTACCATCTTGGCTTCTGAGAGACACTGACACTCCGAGAAGCTCTTTTTATACCCAATCATGTTGTCAATTGACCTAATTAGTGTTAATTGGTCTTCCAGCTGTTCGTTATATGCTCAATTTCCTTTTTCCAGCCACTTATTGCTACTTGTCACAACTTTTTTGGGATTTGTTGACACTGTGAAATTTTGAATCAACATATTTTTCCTTTAAAATGTTACATTTACTCAGATTAAACTTTTGATCTGTCATCTATGTTATATTACGAATAAAATATTACATTTGCCATCTCCACATCATTGCATTCAGTTTTTATTCACAATTTGTTTAGTGTCCCAACTTTTTTGGAATCCGGTTTGTAGTATCCACATATTTGAAAAATGAAATGACATGGAAACTGCTAAAACTATTCAGTTTTTGTTGTGGGTATAACATCCTATAAAATTCAGTTTTATGTTCATTTTGGTCAAAGCTTGAAAGAGCCACTGCAGAGGGACCAAAGAGCCACATGTGGCCCCAGAGCCACAGGTTACAGACCCCTGATAGAGATCTGGAGGGCACTTAAGGCTATATAGGAACCTGCCCATTCAAGGTCATATAGGTCATTATTAAAACTTTAAAATCAATTTTCAAAAGAACTATGAGCCAATGAAGAGAAGCAGCCCCGAGGAGATCACACTTCATGTTAAAAGACGAGCTGCAGCTCTGAACTGACTGCAGTCGTGAGAGGTCGGCTTGTCCTCACATGGTTACACTGATCCATTTGGGAGGTAAAAACATAAATCACTTGGCCAAAATCATTAAAATATATATTTTTTAATCACTTTAGATTAAGACCTTAATTTACAAAAAAGGATATTTTTTTACTGCAAAACAAATCTGTTTCTCAAGGTTAAAATTCAAATCAAATATCAGCCCCAGACTTTACAAACAACTCCAAGTTACTCAGATCTGAATGAGAAACACTGTGGTCCAAAAATAAAAACTTCAGTTTAATTTTTATTCAAATTTAAGCAGCTCGAACCCATCCAGGTTTTGACCTCAGTGGGGCAGTCAATGAGTTTTAGTGAGAGGGAATATTTGTGCTTCATCTGCAGCTGAGTGTCGTCTGCGTAGAAAAAAATGACATTACATTTTCTAAGATTTTTTTTTTAATCACCATAAACTTTATTCATATGTGAATGATTATTTGATGATTTTTGCGCTGTGAAAACAATTTGTTTATTGAACAACCTGCCTGATGTGGACAGGGCCTAAATCGTCTCTCAGCTCTCTGCAGTTTTAGTATCAACACAGTGCACGTTCATCGATATGTCACTTATTGTCCTGTTATTCATTAAGTTTTAGCAGCAGAAATATATTGTATATGGGCTGTTACAATTTATAAATACAGATATTTTTTATATGAATAAAGTCACTGACATATAAATTTGACCAGTGTGCCTTAATAACATCTACAGTTTGTTGCCAATTATTGAAATATATGTAAATTCAGCTTGTTGTTGTTGACCATGCTCTGCCTTGAAAGATGACTGAATATATATATATTTTTTCTCTTTCTTTTCTGAAAATCAACTTATATTTACAGTATTTCAAATATAAATTTGGCTCAGTTGTTGTTACAGGCCTATCTTTTTCATTGTTAGTATCCTTGAAGAAACCAACTATTTGTATAGAAATGAATTTTATTTAGAAATATGCAATTTGTTTATGCTTGCAAATCTATTACATTTACATGAAATTATGTAAATTAAAAGAGAACTTGTTGCTGAAGTTCAATCTTGACAGATTGAAAGTTGAAAAGGTAAAAACTGCTTTTCATAAATTCACCCCCTTTGTGTGTGTTTATGTGTACCTGTTCATTTAAAGCATAAGAAAAATGTTTTTTGTAATATACCTAAATATAATAGTTCAAACTAGTGGACAGAGAGTAAAAAAGATTTGTTAACAATTAAATAAATACTAATAGACTGTCAATGTACAGTATTTTCACCATGTTTGCAAAACAAAACACTTGAGAATCTGAATCAACTTTATTGTCATTGCACAGTTAAGTACAGTGAAATTTTGTTCCGTACAGCCGTCTGAAAGATGGATGGAAGTGAAGGGCTGCAGCTCCCTATGAGCGCTGCCCTTATTGCTTAGACAAGAAATGGGGAAAAAAACATGAGGAGACAAGGTATATAAAAAAAAGATCTCTCACACCCTGTCCTTGACACAGGGCACAGTGTAAAGTAGCAAAAAAATACCCCAGCAAGTAACATAGACAATACATTTTGCAGGGGGTGGAGGTGGGGGACGACAAGACTGAGATTGCCCATGAACACGTCCAGATAGTTTCCATAGTCCTGATAAAGATATTACAGTGTCTCTCAGCCGGTCCACTCTGATAAAGGTCCACAGATGTAGGAGGGGATCAGAGCATCTTGTTTCCATAACTTCCAAGGAGAAATTGAGAGAATCAGCTTCCAAGGCCTGAGCCAGATTCAGATTCCAACATTGGTTTGGGTCAGGCCGAGCTCTTAAATTCTGCGTCTGCCTTTTACAGTCTCGCTACATCTCATGGTGACTCCAAACAGCTGAATTGTGAATACTTAGCCG